GAAAGAACTATGAACATGTGTGTGTTTTTAGTCTAGGTTTTACGAGAGTTTATACTATTTTATACTAGAAATTTGTAATCTTTTATACACTGTAAACATATCTTATCAAGTCAATGTTGCCTAAATTATGACCAAATAGTTAGAGTCATTAGGGGAGGGGAGGTGCTGTACTTAAGGCCAGTAGTAATCTCCTCCTAAAGTACACTCGACCCAAGTGGACAATTATGTGCGCCTCACCCTTGTGTGGGGTGAGGCGATTAATTTTACGCTCATTTGGATCTGAAACGTGCCTAAAGGTATTAACGGCACATCACTTTTAAAAATAAACTTATAATTTACAACTGCCATCATTTATGTAACAATTCTGTACCAGTATACACAATAATTTAGATCTTATTATTACTAATTATTTTATCATTACTAATAGTTTAGTACTATACAGGGTGTATATAAAGCCCCGCACGGGTTTAATACTTTCTAAACGACAACAGATGAATCAATAAGAGTTGGTAAAACAAAACTGCAACTCAAAATCTACTTTTTGAAGGAACCGTCCGTTTTCTTTCGTCCCGCAAGGAGTCAGAAGGAAATCTTAAATAGGAGCATAGGTTGAAATGTAAATCGAATTAATGAGCTTTATTAGCAGGATGCAATGCTGCAAATTTTAACTCAAACGGACAACCGAGTAAAAATTGGCAGCCGTTTAAAGAATAAAAATGGAAGATTCAAGAAAATTGTAGCCGTTCAAAGATATCTTGAATCTGCCATGTTGAATCTTTAAACGGCTGCTAATTTTTACTCAGTTATTCTTTTGAGCTGGAATTCGTGGCATTGTAATCTAAATTTGATGTGCATATGATGATGCTTACGTTTACAAATTTTCTTCTGATGCCTAGCGGCTGCCCTCCTCCTGAGGAGGTGGCATTGCAAATTCAATGAATCTTTGAACTGCTATTATTTTTGACTCGGTTGTCCGTATCAGTATCAAATTTGCGGCATTAAACTCTGCTAGTAAAGGCCTTTAATTTGTTGTACATATTAACTATGCTCTTAACTGTGCTCTTATTTAAGGTTTTCTTCAGACTTCTTGCGTTCTTCAGACGTTCTCATATGACGGGAAACTGATAGTTCCTCCAAAAGGTAGATTTTTAGGTGTTGTGTTGATATTCCAAATCTTATTGATATGTTGTTCGTTTAAAAAATGTTTAGCCAGTGCGTGACTTTACATACACCACGTATAAGATTTACTAGATTTTTTAAACATCTTGAATAAAAATACATATAACAAGTGTTTAAACTATATATTGTCATATTGGGCAATTTGAAATATCTAACAGCTATTCCCTTTGTTAGTTTTGATCAAACCACAATTTAACCGATTTTCCCTCTTTAATTAAATTTAATATTAAATCAGTTTTAATTTATATTTATCGTTTAGGTATACGTTTTTAGTTTTATTCCCACGAATGTTTAACGTAAGGGATTGTATTCCGATTAAGAATGAATGAATTGTTACCTATTATATTTTTAGTAACATATTTATCTTTTCAAACCCCAGAATTATTGTCCAAATTCGCAATGTGTTCATGATAACCACCAGATAAAAGTTATAATTACGTACTAAAGGGCCCGCATCTCTTGAAAGAGATTACCCTTCTTTGGCAGGGGTTCTAAACTACGGGGTGGATGAGGGCTTTCTGTTCTTCACCCCTTTTGTTGTGACATAAAATATTTCATACATGTTTTACCATCTTTATGTTTATTGTGCATTTTTATTTGTTCTTTCAGCAAATACGCAAAACACGAAACATACATAACACACATCAATTACCCTGTTGGCGTAATAAGAGGCAAATTTCTTAACTTAACAATAACATAAAAAATCTGGATAAGAATCAGAAAAATCTGTATCAATAATTAATACATGTCATCGTCAAAGACTATAAATAACCTGAAAACAATCTATTGACCTAAAAAAAAATATATAAGTAAAAAAAAAAAAACAATTTTTATACGTTTTATTGAAAGAGCGTGCTAACTTAAACCAAGGGAATTTGGACACAAGATGACCATTGGTAATATCTTTAAAATTTGTATCAATGCTCAAAAGGTTGATATTTTTAGTTTTAGAAAAAAAACATGTCTTCTTTCGTTTAAAAGGTTATGGTTAACATTACCAATATTACAGAACATAGTTATCTAACCTATTGTCATGCTTTTAAAACCAGGTTATGATTAATTCCAACAACATTTGATTGGTTTATTCATTTATATTTATTATTGGTTTCACTCAAATACAAACAATTACTAAACACTCAAATAGAAAGTTAAACTTTTAAATTTAATGCATAATCCGTAGTTTATGAACCAAAAAGTCAACAGGGGTTTAATTTACTCTGACTAAGATGGAACATTAATTTGAGTAAAATAATCAATCAAACATGGCCGGTCTAAACAACTGAAACAAGCTTAAGATTTTCAATAGCCTACTTTTATGATAAATATTTTAGTGGTTAGAGCTAGTAATTGAACTAATTTAAATGTAATAAAATTACTTTACTTTGCTTACAAATTCTGAGAAAATTCAGATCTTTTTTAACTGCACTCAGCATTCAATTATTAACTGCACCTTAACAATTAATTGTCTTATCTATTCGACATTTATTATTAAATCATATTCTTCTATCCAAACCTTATTTGGTGTACTTTCTCTGTATATATAACCTAAAACTCCCGTTATCCCCAGAACTATTGACAAAATATTTTTACTAAATATTTCTAGACAATCTATTTCATTAAAAGGTTCATGTAACATTTCAACAATCAGCTGTTTAAACCTGCAAACTGTGCATACACTCACCGCTAATGACCACTTAAGTTGCCAGATATGACATATTTGGGCAATAAGGGGCTTAATTATAGCCTAGCACCAGTGGAACATGTTATAAATAGGCGGTGTTGAAGCCTGGCCAAGCGCGCCAGCTGTTCACAATATTCCCATTCATACCGCGCTGTAGTGATCATTTCATTCATTGTTACTGGCGTAGTATTGTAGCCAGTTATTGTTGGCATGGTAACACTGTGCAGTCCAGATGATGGAATGTTTATTGCTTTGAATATTTTAGCTGTATTGCTGTAAGCGAGAGATTTGTTGTACGGTTGGGATGCTATTGCGGGTGTTTTGTATTTTAAAAGTTGTGGACCGGTTTGGTTTCGAATATATAGGTTTATACTTAAATTAGTTCAATGTAAGGTTATTAATTTTGATTATTATCATGTTAATTTTGAATATTTCCATTTTCTGGTCTTGAACCACTTGATTATTAACTTTTTTTGCAATAGTAATGTAAAGGCGTTTTCAATAAACCAGAGGTTGTTTAAACAATGTATTGGACGTTTGGGCATCAAAATAATTATTGCTTTTATTGAGTAGCTTATTAAGTTAAATAGCATAACTCAATAAATAAATTAATTAATTCTTATTCTAAACTATTTTAATTTATCACTTTATATAATTATACAAAACTATACTGCTTAAATTAAATTATATATAAACGAGATTGTAATGCTTAAAGTATGTTATAATTAAAGCTTAAAGCTTGTTACCATTATATTTCTCACTCCAAATATCAATTATAGTTATTGTTATATTTCCTAGGTTAGTCTCACTTGCCTTTGTTATGTGCATATTTCTTAGACTTAAAACTTGTTGTACTATTTATTTAATTATGTCTTATATTGTTTATTTATTGTTACTCCTAGGTATAGTTTTTTACTGTCTTAGATTTTGCATGTATCCTTATTGTTTTGCCCATTACTTTTGCAGTGTTACTTAGTTTTAGTGTATTCAGTCATGATGAGTAACTCATAATATTGTAATTCAATATTGTAAATTGGTGAAATCCGTTGGCAATAAATAAATACATAAATATTTACTAAGGATTCGAAGTTGTACTCATAAGCTTACTGTTTTAATTGTTAAAATTAAAGTTAAGTTTCTTTTCAATTACGTTTCCTTTCTTTGTTTGAAGTTCATTGTTGGTGATGGTGAGTTAATGTTGTTCAAAGGTTTATTGCGGATATTTTCCATCACGATTGTGTAGGGTGTATTGTTTTTTACAATCGTGATGGAAAATGTCCGCAATAAACCTTTGAACAATGTTTCCTTTGTTGTAATCGTATTAAGTTAGAATTTTTTAGTTATTTGAATATCATAATTCGAATCAATATAACCAAAATAACAATCTAAGCTACTATGAGTCTCTCTTTCATGGGTCAGACATGTCAATGCTGCTTTGAAGATGAAAATCTATCTTTTATGCATCTGCATCTTTACAACCATTTATTTAAAAAAAATTGTTTTGTAAACAACATTTATTCCTATTGGGGTAAGTATATAGATAGGCATTTACAATGCATTTGTAAACATTACAACAATAATTTTAAACAATAATTAAATTTACTGGACCAGCAGGGATTAGAGGCTAACAGATGCCTTAGGCGATACTGAAAAATGGAAAGTTACCTTTTTTAAGGGGTTTAACATCAAAAAAGTTTGATAATCAGGCTAAAGCAGTTTTTACACAGTTGAAAAAATCTTTTTGCAACCATGCAATACACAATTTTACACCTTAGGCACATTCACAGTTAGTTGATTACCTTAAGGTGTTTGGTCCAATATAGCACGATATTGTAAAGCAATACATTGCATTTTAAAATGTAACCACACTGAATGAAAATATAATGTTGAAAAGTTATCTAGTCCTAAAATAATTACTAATGTTAGATATTTTAAACAAAATCGCACATTCTACAATTAATAACCATCAACCCTCTCTCTTCATGGATAAATTCAATCCAACTTCCGTTAATTAAATCACGGTGATTGAAATTTCCGTTAAAATATTCCAGAGTGTAAGATTAGCCCTGTTGTAATTGGGGCTGATGGATTAGGGAAGAATAATTCAGCGTTTAAGACAAGTCGCTGGGGATTCGACGTCGGCAGCTGTTCCGGAAAAAGAAATGATTAAGGCTTTAGGGCTACAAGATTTCAGCTGATGGGTAAAAGAGGGGACTTTTTAGTGGAGGGTTGGTAAGAAGTCGAGCACTTAACAGTGGAGATAAGAAGTGGGAGCAGATAAAGGAAAATATTATTGGTGAAGTGTTAGTGCGCCTGCCTCCCCCTCCCCCCCCCCCCAGGGAGTGATGGGTGGGAGGGGAGGGGATGGGAGCCTGTGTCTGGAGCAGTGTACGTCCGGATCGCACCGTGGCCACGTGCTCTCTTGGATACTGTGACTAAAATAGTGCGTCCCTCCAGATGTCGCACCAGTGAAAACGGTAGGGGCCAACGTCAGAGCTGGTTATAGCTTTAGTACTTACAATGTAGTTTTCGGTTAGAAAATTGCTACGTAAACAAAGAACTATACCTCTCGTGTTAATTTGGATTACTTTAGTACTAAAAAGTTTAAAAGGTTACTTACAGACTATAACTTAGCTGTAATTAATTATCAAAGTATTTAGACACCAAAGAAACAAATTTTATATAAACCAGTTATAATTGGGCGTAATTTTATTTGTGATTGAATCTTAAAACCAACGTCAACAAAGAACTGCACGTGTTTCGTATTTAGATTACTCTTAAGAATAATGAGAATTTTCTTTGATTTCTTCAAAACCACTTACATTTATGGTCGTCAATGACATTAAAAGATTTATTTTCAATATAAAAAATCCAATAGTCTGTATATACAGTTACTCTTTGTTGAATCTTTACAAATCTACGTTAAGAGGGAACAGGTAGCGTATTTAGATTGCATTTGGGAATAACAAAGATTTATTTAGACAGTTACAGACACAACTGTTATTTAGCAAAGTTTTATGTAGTTGTAAATTTATTGGGGCATACGTTTCAGAAACAGAAATAATTGTCTTTGACGATTATTATTGTAGATGCCACCTTAAAAATAAATAACACCAATAAAGAAGTTTCTTAACCTGTTACCTATTTTTACCAAAGAGCTGTATATACGTATTGCTAATATAGATTAGTTTAACTAAAAACAACAAAATCATAGTCTTTGGGTTTTGATTATAATTAAAAACTATCTGTATTATCATGTGCTTTAAATACTTCCAAGAAATAAGGGAAAAAGTAATTTCTTACGAATGGTTATTCCCAGTTAAATTGTTGGAGGGATAATTTAAAGTTTAAAAGAGTTTTCGGCGTGACCTTACATTTAGAATATTAAAATAAAATCTGTAATTATATTATGTCAAAATATGTTTAGTTCGTATAGAATCGTCATAAAGTTCAATACATCTGCAAGGTTTTTTCATCCTCCGACGTTTTATATTTAGAAAACAACATTTTTATGGCAGAACGCTATTTTTAGTAGACATGGAGGAAAATTATCATGTAAACACTATGTTTAACTTGCATTCATTTTTTTATTTTGTATAAAATCGATATTTATAGACCTAAGTCTTTCGGGACTTTTTAGATGCTTAGGAGGGAACCTTCTATGGTAATAGACACCTAGAAACATCCATAATTTAATAGATTTGTACGGGATAGAGTTGGGGCCTCGGAGCCTGAGGTTCCGGATTCAAGTCCAGCCAACCATCAATGGATTTTATCTATATGATAATGCCACGACCCTTTTGGACTAGTCTGAAGTAATGTGTAGAACACTTCCGTTTCTAAGGTTCTAGCATGTGAAGGTGAAATGAAATGAAATGAATTTTTTTTATTTCAACAGGCACAGTTACACTTAACCTGCATACATATATACTGAATTACTCAATCAAAAATCATTGATTTGAATATTTCTCGGATATTACATATGTATTTTAATGCTGTGGAGCAGCATGGGTCCTCTAGTTGATTATAATTTAAAAAACATTTTTTTTATGATCAAATAACAATGAATATGCTATTTTTCAGTAGATTTTATTTATTGCCTTCATATTGTGTCATTGTACCAAAAACATATTTTTTTTATGTTTAAACAAAGAGTATTATCATGTTTTGCTTCAAATAGGAACGATCAATGTTTAGAGTGCAATTTTCTGTACGAAAAGGAGATAACAGTAGCAGTTATTTCTGATAACCAGAGCTAATATTCCACTAAGAACCTATTTGTATGATACGGTTCCATTAGGAGCAGCAAATTTAAAAGCCAATTGCGATAGTTAATTGATTAAATCCCCTAAGCTACTATAATGGCTTTAACCTTTTAGGCGACCGTTCATTTATATTTTACTTGGATTTAAATTCATTTAAATTTGATCATCATAATACAATCTTAAATAAATTGGTTTTATTTTAAGACTTTTTTTAGTTGCAGTTGTTGTCTAAATTGTTTGTTTGAGAAGAAAGCTGTTATCATGACACGGACTTCAATAAACCAATTTTATTTTGTCTAGGTATACTACGTCGTGGACCTATTCCCCCCCCTCGCATAGCATTTTGAATAATCTACTAACGTGAATAACACTACAAACATGCGTTTATTTTTAATTAAAATGTATTGCTTTATCGTATATTTAATTAATTGTAGTTTTTTTTCTCCTGAAGTGGAATCTGTGATACATTGTGTATACATTTGTTGACCTGTTTCACTTTAGATATCAGTTAAATAAGTATAGTTAAATACTCTTATATTTGTAGATTTGCCAAAATAAAATTGGGATCTGGGAAATTCGTCTCTAGACCAATTTAACTATTGTATCCCATTGAAAAATCCGATTTCAGTTAAAAAAAAGAAATGGGGGTGGGGGGCCGAACAAATAACTTACCGGAAGTGTTAGTAGATACAATATCTTTAAACAGCTGTTATTTGCATTTGCTTAGTTTATTTAGTTAATCATGAAATAGTTAAAAAAACTTAAAAATTACAATAAAGAAAGGTAAGGATAGTACAAATTTAACTCGCGTTTAACTAGAAATCATTAAACTTATGGTAAAGCAGGCAAACCAATGAATTAACAAATAACCCACAACCAATCACCGTTAATTTCGTATGAAAAAATACCATAACGAAACGAATAGTTTCATAGATTGGCAAAGAATGTACAATTTCACTTTGTTCATTGTTTAAATTTCTAGTTTTTTCTGCTTTACTGCTATTATTAATTCCATACTTTGCAAAAAAACAATTTTTAAGACACTTTGAGAAAAAAAGTTAACGGATAAATTTGGAAAGCTGGAACTTCACTAGATTTAGTCTAAAAAAACGTGTTCTACATTGGTTCTGCGTTACTCCTAATAGTAAATTGATAATTTTTTTGTGTACCGACATATTTCCATAACATGGTCAAATGCTTTTATTATTTATAGTTTTACAATAAAAATAAAATATAAAATACAACAAAGGATGTGTTCCTAACAGTAGGAACTTAAATAATTTTTGAGTAATTTACCAAGACGCAGGTCTATGATAGAAATAGCAACATAATTAAACAAACAAGTAAAAAAAATTCTTATATTCTCTGCGCGCATAAGACCGCATAAAATCTGAACCGTTTCGATATGGTAAGACCTTTAAGTGTGCGTTGATATTTTATCGTAAAAAATCTAATGACGATCCTACAAAATTCCTAGGATAGAAAACTAAGACAATATAGTATGATTGTTATGCCATAAGCGTTATGGATTTCAAATTATAAGAGAAAATGAGTTAACTAATAAAATAGTTAAAAAAAACTTTTAATTTAGTTTATTGGTAGGATCAAAGTGAAGTATGAAGTTTCATCGAAATCGCAAACGATTTTCGGGAATTGCGATTGAAAAATACCGGATTAAGGGAAATCCATCAAATCTATTTTATACATATTGGCAAGCTTTACGTTATCGCTTTCATTCCATTTAGATTATTAAAAGTGTAATTTCATCTCACCAATTAGCGGTATTTACTTTATTTTATTATAATTTTTCCCCAACCAATTAAAGTTAATATAATTACTTAACAGGTTATAATTTGAGCATATCTTTGAAACAAGTTCAAAAGTAATTTGATTCGACTTTTGGTGTTCTACTAAAGTTTAAAAATTCCGTACCAATGCTTTGCAGTTGGCTGCGTACATAAATAGTGTATCTAAGACAACTTATTAAATATTTGACTAATATGTTTTAAAGAATTTCTTCATGTTTCACTTAATGGAGGAGTGAGCTGGTGTAGTGGTTAGAGCGCGGGACTTCAGTCCCGGGTTCAAATCCCGCCAAGTCACCAATTGTATTTTATCGAAGTGATAATGCCGTAACCCTTAGGTCTAGCCTGATGTAACGTGAAAAACAATCCCAGGCTCATGCCTACGTCTATACATATTTAATTTAGCCAAAAGTTAGCCAAGTAAAAGTTTAATTAATGTTGTTTGATTAATGTTTAATTCTTGATTTAAAAGACAATGTTTCAGCTTTACAAACATTTATCCAATTACAAAGTGACGATTGTAAGCTAAAATCATATTGTGATATCGATATTTAAAAATAACACGATACTATGTGAGAATACAAGAATCTATTTGCTAAATATTCTAAAAAATAGCGACATGTATTAAAATGTGCTAGAAGGATTGAAGCTATGCTGGTTGGCAAACCATTTCATTGTACCAAAGTAAAAAAAAAAAAAAACTAGGTAATGTGATACACATTATTTCAATCATCACATATTGCTAAAATACCAGTAAGTATCGGTGCTCAACAAATATCATAAGCGACCAATGTTAATACCCACAATATGTAGAAAAACTTACAAAGTGTTGCTACCTGTCTATCTGTAGAACGCGGACGAAAAAAACATTCTATTTTCGTTCCGGGAGATGCTGTTGCATCAATCACAAAGAGAACGCCAAACTTTCAAGTATTTCAGGTATTTAAGCAAATCTTCTCTCCTGAAATTATAAGTGCCCTAGAGTTGTTATAATTTCCTAATAAATTCTACACATCTAATAATAGTCAGAAAGCAATAACGAAACATCTAGGAGGGTGTATGAGTTTTATTTAGAATTAAATGTGACATTGTATATCACGTTCATTTCAATAAAAACATACATTATATTGACATTCAATATTATGTTAAATAAATTTACTTTAAAAAAGCTATGATTGCCATTGTAAATAAAATACCTTAAAATGGGCTTTAGATAGTTTGCCTAAATGAGAATTAACTTTAAGTAGCTCTATGTATTCCAGATTTTAGAAATCGTGGAGATAGACTCTTCGAGGAAGGGAAGCTAACTGGTCTATTAGTAGAACACCCTTTGGTCTCTACGGTTATGGCTTCAAAATCCGCCAATCAACAATTTTTTTTATATAATACGAAAAGGCTTCATTTTTA